CGAATGGGAGAAAGACAATTGTATTTGCATATGGTGCCAAGTTAATACATAGAAATTGGTTCAATTACCAACAAAAAGCTTGCAACATTATCTGAAAGCAAGACACTTTGAAGTTTCCAAAACTGCATAACAACACAATTAAAACGAATACAGAAATTTCAAAAATATGTAGCAACAACAATTTCTTTTCTTTTTTTTTTTGGAAATTTCAATTTCATGAATGAAAACAAACGGATACACGGACAAAACAGTCCATATCAAACATGAGTGGTTGATATGTAAATACAATTTCAGAACATGAGGAGACAGAGAGATTGAGTCGCACAGAAAAAGTGACCTGGAGATGCTCCTCTAGATTTCTGTGGCCACGCAAAGGATTGGAGCTATTGACTGGAATAAAGAACGAACCATCTCCATATGCTTCAATTCCAATACTGAGCGATTGGAGAGTCGGTGGGCTCGGGACAGTAGCGTCGACCGATGCCGGAAAGGGTTCTGAGTTGAAGATTACGGTTTGTTCAATTAGGAAACAAAGTGCTAATATTTTACAATTGGAAATTAAAAAAAAATTATCAAAAAAAAAAATAGGGCTTCGTAGTTTTTGTTCAATTAGGAAACAAAGTGATAATATTTTACAATTGGGAAAGTTTTTTTTTTTAAAAAAAAATATCCAAAAAAAAATAGGTCGGCAAACACACTATGCATATAAATAGCTGCTAACTTTCTCGAGTCGATTAAGAAGCAATTAGCAAGTCAAAAAGAACCTATTTTTTTGACCAGCAAATTTTTTTTTTTCGGCGGACCAATAAGCTGCTAACTTTCTGGAGTCGATTAAGAAGCAATAAGCTGCTAATTATTTTTTTTCGGCGGACCAGCAACAAACCAAGCAGCCCTGGGCAAAATATGTGAGTCCTTTCCGTCGATATCTAATTTTTTCGTAATTTTAGTTAGTTGTTTAATTTTTTTCAACGCCTTTTTGATTTGTGATTTTCCGAAGCGGCTGGCTACGTAGTTTTCATTCAATTAGGAAACAAAGTGTTAATCTTTTACAATTAGGAAACCGTTTTCTAATTAACTATACCAAAAAAAAAAAAAAAATTAGGTCGGCGATCTTTTTTTTGGTTTTTGTTGAATGTTCGGCAAACTCAGAAATTTACTTATGTGGGCGTGAAAAACCTAGTTCTAGACTTATAGGGGTTCCACTTTTTTACCCGTAGAAGTATATAACCTTCCCGCAATTAGAGAATGTGAAAATATGACAAAACCGCCAGAGCCGATTGTGGATTTTATTAAAAACCGCTAAGAGCGAATGCGGAAATAAAAACCGCAAACATTGATTTCCGTTTCAAACTGAGAATTAAGAAAAATTAAAAATTATGCTTAGTTTTATCAATCACAATTAATTAATAAAAACCGCAACAGCAAAATGCAGAATCAAAATCACTGCAAGAAAGCTTTGCGGAAATCATGATGGATTGCGGAATTTATTATTTATAAATTTTTTAACTTAAACTGGTTAAATTTTGGAGAAAATAGTGATCAATGAAATTTAGTTGATTAATTTTGTTATGCTGATTTTAGTCAAGAGCAGGAAATTTATGAAATTTTAGGAAATGTATATTTGAATATGAGTGCATAAATTAATCATTTTTGGTTAAAAGGGGAATAATTTTTTGAAATGAAGTAAATGTTTATTAATTATCATATCTTCCACATTGAAATTTTATTAATTTTGTAATAGATATATTATAATTTTATAATGTAACCAATCTACTACAAGCCAAGGAAACAAATTAATACAAAAAAAAACCCAAATACTAAATAACAAATATGAACAGTAATATTATTGTACTACTTGCGCTGAAACCAACACCAATACCCCCACTTGAAACCCACCCCACAGCCCAATACAACCCCTTCCACCCCAAAACGGGAATAAAAACAAGAAACAAAAAACCCCAACACCCCCCAACCCAGCACCCCGCCACCTGAAACCCACCCACTACCCCACTGCTCGGTTTGAATTTTTTAAAAGAACCGCAATGGCTATGTGCTGATTTCTTCTTGAAGTAAATAATACTAAAGTGACCACAGACCCTATTAAATTATAAAACAGATATCTTAATATTTGTAAATAACACCCTTTTAACTTCTTTTTTTATTAGAACTATGTGCTAGTAAAATCTTTTTCATTTTTTTTACTAGAACTATGTGCCAGTAAAATCTTTTTCATTTACACCCTTAATAATAATTTTTGTATTTTAACTATAACCCAAATAATATAGTATTTTACACAGTATTGAATTTGTACTCCCTCCGTCCCAAAATAATTTTTCACTTTAGTGTCAATGAACATTAAAATGAAAATCATTTCAAAAAAATAATGTGATTAGTGTGCTACTTAGTTTTACCTAATCGGAATTTGTTATTAATCAAATTTCTTCTTTTTACATATGTACTACTTAGTTTTATTTAAACGTAATCTGTTATCAATCAACTTTATTTTTTGAAATACGTAATAATTAGTTTTATTTAGAGCATCTCCAACCAAGACACCAAAACACTAAATTTGGTGTTTTGGTGTAAAAGTTTCACTCCAAGGAACACACTAAATCTCTACACTGTTTTGGTGTAATGAATAGTGATACACCAAATTTAGTGTAAATTATCAATTACACTATTTTTAATGCACTATCTTTTTATTTAGATTTAAAAACATATTTTCTATGCAATTAAACTTGTAAAACGAATTATGTTATAAAAAATATATCATATTAAATATTTTGTTGAGATCTTCAAAATAAGACCCATATTGAATATAAATTTTTATTTTTTTATATTTTTAGTTATTATTAACATTGAATATGAAAAAAAATACAAAAATTTAATACTTCTACAATCAAATAAAAAGCAATTATAAGGAACAAATTTCACAAATTTATCACCAAATTACATGATTTTATTTACTAGAAAAATAAAATTTGAACTAAAACATTTAATAGATAGACATTTTAGTGAATCAAGGTTGGAGTTAAAAGAACCTTGGTGTAAAAAGATGATTGGAATATTCCATTTGTGCACTAAATTTGGTGTAAAATATAGTGCAATGGTTGGAGATGCTCTTAATTAAACAGAATATGTTATTGATCAAATTTGCTCTTTTTAGATATATACTACATAGTTTTACCTAAACGGAATATGTTATTAATCAAATTTGTTCGTTTTACGTATGTACCACTTAATTTAGCTTAAACGGAATCCGTTATTATTCAAATTTGTTCTTTTTTCATATGTGCTACTTTGTTTTATTTATTAATCGGAATCTGTTATTAATCAAATTTGATCTTTTCACATATGTAATAATTATCTTAAACGTAATCTATTATTAATCAAATTTATTCTGTTTACATATGTAATAACTAGTTTTACTTAAACAGAATTTGTTATTCATCAAATTTGTTCTTTTTACATATATACTACATAGTTTTACTTAAACGGAATCCGTTATTAATCAAATTGGTTCTTTTCACATATGTACTACTTTGGTTTATTTAAATTGAATCTGTTATTAATCAAATTTGTTCTTTTTACATATATAATTCTTAGTTTTACTTAAACAGATTTTGTTATTGAAAATTTTGTTCTTTAGCCCTCGATATGCTAAAGAACGATGAAATTTGATAAGCACACAATTTCCATCGAAATTTAACAATCTCAATGATCATATATATATATATATATATATATATATATATAAAGTGTAGACATAATTATGCACACCGTCACCCCTCAAATACATACATTACTCAATTTAACCATTTCATACACGCTTACATCATTAATATACGAATTCTAAAATACAACATTGACACAATTATCGACGAAGTAATAGATGTAAATCTAAACATTATTTAAATGGCAGAAAGCAAAAAAATTACCTAAATAATTCAAAGAACATTATTTTATAAAAGTACATTATGAAAACCGCATAGAAGGTATGCGGTTTTGAGTTTCTTTTTTTTTTTTAATTTAAATTTCAGTTTGACTTTTAATTCAAACAATATTATTTTCCCGCCAGTTTTTTTCGTTCAAAATTAATTTATTTTTAAAATAATTAAATAGAAGCAACCGCATTCACTCAATGCGGTTTTGACTTCTCTTCAATTTTGACTTTTCATTTTTTTACGAATTCCTTTCGTCAAAATTCCTCCAAATTTTAGTTTTTTTTTTTAAAAAAAAATTAAACTACTTACAACCGCATTCATGCTTTGTGGTTTTGACAACCATAGTTTGATTTCCCCTTACCCAAAATGAAGCTTCACGCCAATTTTTTTTTTTTTTTTTTATATATAGAAATTAATGGAAACCGCATTCGACGAACGCAATTTGGCTAATTAATAGTTTTTTAAGATTTCCGCATACTTTCTATGCGGGAAGGCTATATGCTTCTACATAGCTAAGACCTAGCACCATTTGAGTCCACGAATGGTGTTTTCACAACAACTAATCTCAAGCACCCTCGGCAAACTCAATGTCTATAAATAAGCTGCTTACTGCAATTTTTTTTTCTAGTCTGATTCAAAAGCGATTTGCAAGCGGCGGACAAAAGACTAACAGCAAACCAAGCAGCCGCGGGCAAAAATCTGAGCCGAAATATCTGAGTCCTTTCAGGCTCAGTTTTTGTAAGTCGATCTGTTTCTTAATTTCGATTCGTTGTTTGACTTTATCGACCCGTTTCATTGAGTCCTTGAAGAATTATTGAATCCTCAACCGTGTATCGTGTATATATTTTTGTTCCACCATTGAGAAGAAAAAGAAATTAGGGTTTAAGAATTTTACGGTTTATTCCAGAGATAAAAAAAAACCTGCACTTTATTTAAAGTCTCCTCAACGGATTGACGGCTTTGTGATTTTTGATTTCCTTAACCTTTTTCTTTTTTTCGCTGATTTTGCCTTTTCTTTTGGTTCTTGTCAATTCATCATAATAGCGCGCTGTCAAGATGGTGAAGTTTACGGGTGCTGATATTAGGAAGATCATGGACAAACCGAACAATATCCGGAACATGTCCGTGATTGCTCATGTTGATCACGGCAAGTCCACGCTGACTGATTCTCTGGTGGCTGCGGCGGGTATCATCGCCGAGGAGGTGGCCGGAGATGTCCGTATGACGGATACGAGGAAAGACGAAGCCGAGCGGGGGATCACCATCAAATCAACCGGCATCTCGCTGTTCTACGAGATGTCCGATGAGGAGCTTCGGGGCTACAAAGGAGAGCGCGACGGGAACGAGTTTCTCATCAACCTTATCGACTCGCCCGGCCACGTTGATTTCTCGTCGGAAGTTACAGCTGCCCTTTGTATCACCGATGGTGCCTTGGTCGTGGTTGATTGTATCGAGGGCGTTTGCGTCCAAACCGAAACCGTCCTCCGACAGGCTCTTGGAGAGAGGGTCAGGCCAGTTTTAACAGTTAATAAGATGGACAGGTGTTTCCTTGAGCTTAAGGTTGATGGAGAGGAAGCCTACACGAGCTTCCAGAAGGTTATCGAAAACGCCAATGTCATCATGGCTACCTATGAAGATCCCCTCCTTGGAGATGTTATGGTTCACCCTGAGAAAGGGACAGTTGCTTTCTCCGCTGGTTTGCACGGCTGGGCTTTCACACTAAGCACTTTTGTGAAAATCTATGCTTCCAAGTTTTGTGTGGAGGAGTCGAAGATGATGGGAAGGCTGTGGGGGGGAGAACTATTTCGACACTGCCACGAAGAAGTGGACTACAAAGAATACGGGTTCAAAAACTTGTATGCGCGGATTTGTACAGTATTGTTATGAGCCTATAAAGCAGGTGATTGAAACTTGTATGAATGATGAAAAAGACAAGCTGTGGCCAATGTTAGAAAAACTAAAAGTGTCCTTGAAGTCTGAGGATAGGGAGTTGTCGGGGAAGCCGTTGATGAAGCGGGTGATGCAGACTTGGCTTCCAGCGAGCTCTGCCCTGCTCGAAATGATGATCTATCACCTTCCATCTCCATCCAAGGCTCAAAGGTACCGTGTCGAGGACTTGTATGAAGGGCCTCTTGATGATCAGTATGCTAATGCTATCAGGAATTGTGATCCTGACGGGCCTCTTATGCTGTACGTGTCTAAGATGATTCCGGCTCCTGATAAAGGTCGTTTCTTTGCTTTCGGGCGTGTGTTTGCCGGGAAGGTTGCCTCCGGTATGAAGGTTAGGATCATGGGTCCTAACTATGTGCCAGGAGAAAAAAAGGACCTGTATGTGAAAAATGTCCAGAGAACTCATATCTGGATGGGTAAGAAGCAAGACGCTGTTGATGATGTACCTTGCGGGAACACCGTTTCTATGGTTGGTTTGGATCAGTTCATCACCAAGAATGCAACCTTGACAAACGAAAATGAAGTCGACGCACATCCAATTAGGGCTATGAAGTTTTCTGTTTCGCCGGTGGTTCGAGTTGCTGTAAACTGCAAGGTTGCCTCTGACCTTCCAAAGCTTGTGGATGGTTTGAAGCGGCTGGCCAAGTCTGATCCAATGGTTGTATGTACAATTGAAGAATCAGGGGAGCACATTATTGCTGGTGCTGGAGAATTGCACCTTGAGATCTGCTTGAAGGATTTGCAAGAGGATTTCATGGGTGGCGTGGAACTCATCGTGTCTGATCCAGTAGTTTCATTTCGTGAAACCGTGCTGGAGAAATCTTGTCGCACGGTGATGAGCAAGTCTCCAAACAAACACAACCGTCTATACATGGAAGCTAGGCCTCTGGAGCATGGGCTTGCGGAAGCAATTGATGAAGGCACAATCGGGCCGAGAGACGATCCGAAGGTTCGTTCCAAGATCCTGTCGGAGAAGTTTGGGTGGGACAAGGATCTCGCGAAGAAGGTCTGGTGCTTTGGTCCGGAAACAACGGGTCCAAACATGGTGGTTGATATGTGTAAAGGAGTTCAGTATCTTAGCGAAATCAAGGATTCCGTGGTTGCTGGTTTTCAGTGGGCTTCAAAGGAAGGCGCATTGGCTGAGGAACACATGAGAGGTATTTGTTTTGAGGTTTGTGATGTGGTTCTTCATGCTGACGCCATTCATAGAGGCGGTGGACAGGTGATCCCAACTGCGAGGAGGGCTATCTATGCGGCGCAACTTACTGCCAAGCCGCGTCTTCTCGAGCCGGTTTACCTTGTGGAGATTCAGGCACCTGAACAGGCGCTTGGTGGTATTTACAGTGTTTTGAATCAGAAGCGCGGGCACGTGTTTGAAGAAGTGCAGAGGGCAGGGACTCCACTCTACAACATCAAGGCATATCTTCCGGTTGTCGAGTCTTTCGGGTTTTCGAGCACATTGCGAGCTGCGACTTCCGGGGAGGCTTTCCCGCAGTGTGTGTTTGATCATTGGGACATGCTTTCTTCTGATCCATTGGAAGCTAACTCCCAGACTGCAAAGTACGTGGCTGAGATCAGGAAGAGGAAGGGTTTGAAGGAACAGATTACTCCACTTTCTGAGTTTGAGGACAAGCTATAATCAGCTCCATAAAATCAGCAGAGCTTTGTTGTTTTATCATTTATTATGCTCATTTTTTTTTTCTAATTTTTTCAAAGATTCTTGATGTGTTTTATGCCATTCAATTTAATTGATAGATTGTTTTTGTTTCTACTAAACAACTTTTTTTTCTTGATTAACTCACTCCATATACACTCTAACCGGGTTCTATTTATTTAATGAATTAGAACTCTTTCTTTCGTTTTTTGGACGAAGAGAAGTCATAAATGTCCACCTGAATCTAAAATAGGTTAGCCTTAAGGTATCATCTTTTGCTATTGAATTCACTGTTACAGAGATGATGATTGCTTGTAAGGTTAAGTAAGAGGAAAAGATTGAATTTTGGGTTGGATTTGGAGTTGAAGAGTATGAAAAGGTTCATTTCTTCGAGGGATCGGTATTCTAAATCATGTATTCCGTTGGGTTTGAGGGGTTTGAACAATTTGGGGAACACATGTTTTATGAATTCTGTCTTGCAAGCATTGCTTCATGCTCCACCTTTGAGGAATTACTTCCTTAGTGATAGGCATAATCGAGCAATCCGCAGGAAAAGATCTTCAGATCGCCGTTTGTGTTTACCTTGTGATATTGATGTTATTTTCTCAGCTTTTTTTTTTCTGGTGATCGGACACCATATAGTCCAGCTCAATTTCTTTACAGGTTTGCTTTGTATTTATCTCCTATCTACTAATTTCTTAATTCCAAATTGTTTCCTTAATTATTTGCAGATGGATAACATGTGAATTTGTGGCCTCATTGAGCTCTAACATTCTGTGTTTTGAGATCCCAACCTACTCTACGCACCTACTCCACTGCATTCTATTTGTGTTCAATTTGTGTTGGACATTGCATAGCAACTGTGAAATATTTGAGGCCCCTAATCCATTTTGATACATTATATCCCTTGATCTGGTTGAGGATGCAAATCTTGTTTGTGAATTCTGTATTTCATTTTTTCTTTCGAAGTCTAGGGTGGCTCTTTTGTTTGATATAACAATGCAGTTATATTTTGTTTTATTATGATACAAAGCAGGGAGTGTTTGACAAACTCAAAAATTCATGTTATTGTTTTATATTTTCCCCTGTAACGCTCAATTACAAAATTTGTTGTACCTGCTTCGGCTCGCCGCATACATATTGGCATTAGTATGTCAGTCAGATGAAGTATTGAATACAAAGGTGGTGGTTGACTGCAGTTGGTGGCAGCATCCAGAAAACCTTGCTAATTAGGAGCAGCATGATGCCCACGAGTTTTTTTATCTCTACGTTGGATAGGATCCATGAGACGGAGGGCAAGGCAGGCCATGTTATTAGAGGTAAAGAAATGGCAATGTTTGGTTTTTCTGCTTTTTAATTACAGAACATGACTCCACTGTTGATAGTGAGAATGTAGTGTGCCAACGCCGTAAATATCTGCTCCAGCCTATATGCGTTTATCAGGCGGCTTAACTCTGTTAAAGTTGCATGTTAGGGGTATACATTTTTGTCATAAGTGCTAACTGCTTACAAAAGTGTGTCCTTAATTATATTGCCTGCTGCTGAACATAAATGAGCTCGAACCACTTGACAAGGGGAGAAGGATTACTTAAAAATTTTTGTTTGTTGAAACTGATCGTAAGCTTTTCTGTGAAACAGATAATGGGGATTGCCCTTGTATTATCCATAGAGCTTTTTCAGGCCTGCTGAGATCAGATTTGACCTGTACATCATGTGGGTTCACTTCCTCAACTTACGATCCATGTGTGGATATTTCTCTCGATTTAGATACAAGCATTTCGGGTAGAGATCCCGGTACGCTAAGTAAGCTGAATGAGAGCATAGGTACATCGACTCTTGTAGGCTGCTTGGACCTCTTTACGAGACCTGAGAAGCTGGGATCATGCCAGAAATTGTACTGTGACAATTGTCAAGAGAAACAGGACATTTTGAAACAACTGTCCAAAAAAAGCGACCTGATAAAAACGTTTTGCGCATTCCCCAGTTAAAAAGTTGTCCAGAAAAATTGATGTTCATTTGGAGTTTCCTTTCTCCTTAGAAATGAAACCATATTTGTCATCTTCAATTGTCCGAAGAAGACTTGGAAACAGAATGTTTGCATTCGAGGATGATGACATAGATATTAACACAAAATTTGAGGTTTTTGCTGTGGTAACTCATTCAGGGATGTTAGAATCTGGTCATTATGTGACCTATCTGCGCTTGCAGAACCAATGGTTTAAGTGTGATGATGCTTGGATTACTAAAGTTAATGAAGAGGTAGTTAGAGCATCACAGTGCTATCTAGTTTATTATGTGCAAAAAGTGCTATACCACAAAGGAAGTGAGGACGTGAGTTGCCAGCCGCTGTCCTCCCATGCTGATGCATTTGTTCCAATTGCTGGTTGCTGCTAGATAGCCTGATATAGCATTTCAATTCACTTCTGAGAGACGCATAATTATGCAAGATGCTTATTTCTGCTGAACGAGGCTTTGCACTGCTGAGTGGGTTCAGGAGTAATAGGGCTGGCCGGTACCGGCCTCAACCATTTATTAGGGCAATGATTCTTTTATTGTGGCTTCAGCCTGGGATGCGATGGTGTCAAAAAAGCAAAAAGGTCATGTTTTGTTTTAACTTTCTTTCTTCCCTCTTAAATTTTTTTCGTTCAATGTACAGATTTATTTCTTTTAGAATTGCCTGAAAAAGTTGATAAATACTTGTTCCTACTGGTATAAATTGTCTGCTGTTTTGGTTTCCAACAGTTTCACTGTAATACACCCAATAAGTAACGTCACGACAAACTTTTTGTACAAGCGGAGTCGGTAGATACAATCTCTTAAACAGTTATAATAATAATCCAGACAAATCAACCAAAATTTAGGAGGATCTGTCCTAAAAAAGAGGTAGATATTGGTATAACAAGCTCTCAGATGCTGTGTCCTCCTGCTGCAAAAATCAAACCTCTCCAAAGATCTTGTGAGATGGCTTGGTTCGTCGAGTGAAAAGTACGGGGATTCATGTACAATCACCTCGAGTACCTCGCTCTGGCCTAAGCAAAGAGCATTCTCCTGTGCTCCAGAAATGCATAGCAGAACTCATAGGGAACAAGGACTTTGCCATGTAGATATGTCCCCGATAAGAAATCGCAGCTGACCAATAAGAATTTTGAGATGCTCGTTTCTATCTGCAAGCCTCTGGAAATTCCAAAAAAATAATCACAGGTTTTGATCAATAACCACAATCACAGGAAGCTTGCGGAAATGCATCATCCCGGGAGAGGAATAAAAACAAGGAATACCAAATGCCAGATCCTGACTTTAAACAAGATATAAGAAGAACCAAGACGAAACACACTGTAACAATACTAGCTTTTTCTTGTTTCCATCTGGCCCAAAGCAGCTAAACTAGCTACAGGTGAAAAATAAACAGAGAAGTTCAGAAAAGGGTTATTTGACAGACCCCTAATTGAAAATTGAAACCACAATAACAGCGAAGAAAACCAGAGATTATTAAGTATAGGTAGAAATACCTTTCTCAAAGCCAAGGCTTGCTCTTCCAGCTTCTCTATTTCACCTTGGTCATCAGGAGAACCGGATCTAGTAATTGAAACCAATTCAGAAGCTTCAACCTGTTACAAAACATTGCCAGAACCAATAAAATGTACCTACGGTTTAAGACACAGAATAGGAACATATACAGAATCATGCTGCACTAATCTTCCATGGAAGAAAATCACTCATCTTGACTCCAATTTTTCACATTGTACACAAAAGGCAGATTCACGCGCTAAAATCTCACATCAGTGTTCTCCTGATCTAAGTAAGAGTAACGATAAAAAAAAACGGCACAAAATCAAGCTGACTGACTTTCTTTAGGGACAGAATTCGTTAACCATTTACAATTCATTTACAACAATCATATGGAGAATCATAAATGAATTCCAGCATTAATCATTGATATTATCTCACAAACAAACAGAGAAGCCAAGAAATTGGAAATGTAAATTATCAGCAAATAAACTTGCTCAAGCGTTTTTATCAAGTTTGTTGAAATGCAAACGGCACAAGCAGCAAAACATCCTACAGGAGACAACCCAGGAGAAAAAGACTCGACAGACTTGTATTCATCAATAATCACAAAAGAAAACCCAGGAAAAAAATCCCAAAAAGAATGCAACGAAAATCACCTTCTGAGAGAATTAGAAATAGCAGAGAGGACTGTACGCAGGGCAGCAACGGCCGTTTTGTAACGGATGCGAGCCTCCTCGAGCGCCCCACCAGCGTTTTCCAAGTGATGCGGCGGCGAAGAAGAACATCGCTTTTGCTTCAAATAAACAACAAAAAAACTAATGACCAATTAATGATCATGCTGCCTTTTTCATCTCTCGACCTCCTGTGTTGCATTACCTTCTTGTAGAGGTGCCGGAAGAATAATGATGACTAGCATTTTACGAACTTTATTATTAGTACCATAAGTTTGAGAATTTATTGATCTGTGGATGTTCAACAAGTTTTCTTGCTTCATTTCTCTTTTAAGGGGAGAATGATACTCTTGTGTAGTAAAGCAGCACCGATGACGAAATCCCTTTTGGCTGCCAATTGATCTTTTAGGGATTGAAACAAGAATCTTTGAATGAACCTTTTGTGGCGGAAAGGGTATAAGCACAACACACTGCGGAAGCGAGCCCCAAGAAAAACTCCTTTCCTACTACCAATAAAATAGGACAACCACCCAAACAAGCAACTAACTCAAGAACTGATAAAATAAAGGAGGCACGCAAATTACGTGGAAACCCAAATCGGGAAAACTACGAGATCAGAATAACAACCAAATCTCCACTATCACAATAATGGGAAAACAGTCTTCACCGACTGGTGGATACACAAGACTTCACCCAAAGGTGGATTACAACAATACTCTTCCACACACACCTATCACAAAGTAGGACTGGAAGGATCTAACCAAAAGAGAGCTAAACTGAAAACTAAACCTTAGCTTTCTTTCTTTTTCTCTCGTACAAAACAATGCAATGGCTGCCCAAATTTTTCTTCTCTCTTGGCTGAAAAATACACCCCTAAAAATTATGCCAAAGCCTTGCTTTTATAGAGCAAAAAAACCTAAAAACAAAAACCCAATTGGAGTAGGTTTTGTTTCCTAAAACCAAAGCCAAAATTGGCTTGGTTTTATTTGTTTCCTTGTTGACCCAATTAAGGGGAATACCGGGCCCAACAATCTCCCCCTTCACCTCAATTGGGGGTAAACCAAACTCGCTTCTGTCTACTGAGACGTGCTTCTCTCTACTCACAGTCTTCGTCAACATATCGGCACCGTTGTCATCCGTATGGATCTTCTCAAGAAACAACGCCTTGGACTCCAACACATCTCGAATCCAATGATATCTCACATCAATATGTTTTGACCGCGAATGAAATGTGGAATTTTTCGCTAAGTGAATAGCGCTCTGGCTATCACAATACACCACATACTTCTCTTGCTTCACGCCAAGCTCTTGTAGAAACTTCTGCAACCAAAGTGCTTCCTTACAAGATTCAGTAGCTGCGATAAACTCTGCCTCTGTAGTAGACAAAGCAACACATTTCTGCAATCTACTCTGCCATGAAACCGCTCCCCCTCCATAAGTCATCAAGTATCCAGAAGTAGACTTCCGACCATCAAGGCCACCCGCCATGTCAGCATCTGTATATCCATCCAACATGGTCTTTCCATTGCCAAAGCAAAGACTCAATCTAGAAGTACCCCTAAGATACCTGAGAATCCATTTCACAGCATTCCAATGCTCCTTACCAGGATTGGAGAGAAACCGACTAACAACCCCAACTGCATGAGCTATGTCTGGCCTTGTGCAAACCATCGCATACATTAGGCTGCCAACTGCCGAAGCATAAGGAACCTTTTTCATCTCTTCCTTATCTTTCTCACTTTTATGACACTGTGTTTTGCTTAGCTTAAAATGCCCTGCAAGTGGAGTCGAGACTTCCTTAGCACCGCTCATGTTAAATCTATCAAGAACCTTCTCGATATACTTCTCTTGAGATACCCAAAGCTTCCCATTTTGTCTGTCACGAGAAATCTTCATCCCAAGGATCTGTCTAGCCGGACCCAAATCCTTCATCGCAAAGGATTTATTCAACTCCTTTTTCAACCTAGCAATCTTTGCAATATCATGACCAACAATCAACAGGTCATCGACATAAAGCAAAAGAATTATAAAATCACCATCAGAGAATTTTTTCACAAACACACAATGATCAGCTGTAGTCCTTTGGTATCCCTGCCTTATCGTAAAGGCATCAAACTTCTTGTACCATTGCCTCGGAGCTTGCTTCAACCCATACAAGCTTTTGTTGAGACGACATACAAGCTTCTCTTTCCCCTTTTCCTGAAACCCATCTGGTTGCTCCATGTAAATCTCTTCTTCCAAATCACCATGCAGGAAGGCTGTCTTCACATCAAGCTGTTCAATCTCAAGATTCAAGCTGGCCGCTATCCCAAGCACAACTCGGATTGAAGACATTTTTACAACAGGAGAGAATATCTCATCAAAGTCTACGCCCTTCCTCTGATTGATTCCCTTCACAACCAATCTGGCTTTGTACCTCGGTTGTGAGCTGTTCTCACTTGTTTTCAGTCTAAACACTCATTTATTCTTGAGTGCTCTCTTGCCCTTAGACAGCTTCACCAGGTCATACGTGTTATTCTCATGCAAGGATTTGATCTCATCTTGCATGGCTGCTAACCACTGATCTTTCTGCTCATGACTAAGAACCTCTTCATACGACTCTGGCTCTCCCCCATCAGTAAGCAACAAATACTCATGAGCACTGTACCTGGTGGAAGGTCTCTTGTTTCTGGTGGACCTCCTAGGCTGAACAAGAGGTGATGAAACTGGTGGTGTCTCTGTTTCAGTAGCAGGATCATCATCAAACTCACCATCCTGCTCTGTCTCAGCTCCCCCTTCAGGAGAATCATCTGATTGTGGAGGAACTGGATCTAAATCAACAGGAATCTCAGGTGAAGATTTTGGCATCTCGCCTTTTCCCATATCATCAATGGTCTGGTCTTCAAAGAAAATCACATCTCTGCTTCTAAAAACTTTCTTTTCTACAGGATCCCAAAGTCTGTACCCAAAATCATCATTTCCATACCCCAAGAATACACACTGCTTGGATTTGCCATCAAGCTTCGACCTTTCATCTTTGGGAATATGAACAAAGGCACGATAACCAAAAACTCGCAAATGCCTAAATGAGACATCTTTCCCTGTCCAAACTCGTTGTGGTAGATCACCATCCAACGGAACTGAGGGAGATAGGTTGATCAAATCAACTGCTGTTTGCATGGCTTCACCCCAAAAAGATTTAGGCAGCTTTGCATTCGAGAGCATACACCTAAC